TGAGTTATGGCCGAAATGAACATTAATTTCTGAACAACCTGATATGTTAATAATTTAAAATGTAATATATTTGCGTTAAATGTTAAGTACCATATTTTACTAAATAAATAGATATTTTAAGTGCTTTAAATTAAATTATAATTAGATTGTAAAATAAATTACTCATAAATAATTAATGTAATGATAAAAATAATTTTATTACAAAAATACAATGCAATAACCAAAAACATAAAACTTGGACCTTAATCATACATATCTCACGAGGAGTTCAACACATAAATCATAAGTTCATTAATAGCGGCCAAAAATGTCATCGCAATTGTCAGTGTCTTCGGGCGCGACACACACTCCGAATGACTCATCGAACACAGTGTCCAACGGATTGCAATTGAAGAGGGTGCGGGTAAATTTGCCCTTGCTACTAATTGAGTGGCACCGATAGAACTTGGTACAATCGTTAGGGTTGCGGAAAAAGCCGGCCTCGTCACAAGGCAGCGGCTGAGTCCAGTGGTCTGGTATGTCCTGCGGGGTCGGTGTGGTTGTGGTGGCGCGCCGTTTGTGCGCTCTCGGGAACAGCTCCGGGTGGGCGACGCAGCACAGGTTGTCGCACACCTGATAAAATATGATTTTGTTTTATACAAGTAATTTATTTGTTTGGCTAAAATAATTACGCAATCCACTATGAAAATTATGTATTTATAAATAATAAATAAAATAATAAATTTTATTACATAGATTCGCGCACTTTAGGTGTACCAAAAACTTAGTATCATTATAAATTAAATATCTCACACACATACTGTACCGTCATATTTTTATGTAGTTAAGCAAGTGTTTGTATTGAGTAATTGGAAATCCCAGTATTAATAGTGCATTATTCATAAAAATTGTTATATTGTTTAGTCACTTTTTAAAATGACCAAAAGTCAATTATACTTTTCTAAAACATACAAAATAAATGTGATTTAAATACTAATTTTGATACACTTTTATTTTTACGTGTGTAAAACCTTACATTATTTTGCTCGTAGCTTCCACAGTGCTTAGAATCATATCATTGGCGGTGTATAATTAAATAATTACAGTTTGTTCAAAACCAAACTAGTACTAACATGATATGGTCCACATTTGACACCATCCTCCATATATTGTTCAAACACCTCCACTGACTCTTGGCATTGAATAATGTCTTCTTTCTGCGACATATGAGCTGGGTACGAACGTAGATTATTGTCCTTGTTGGTTGGCAGCTCTTCCTCGCACAGGGCACACTCAACTTTACACGGATTGTTGTACGTGTTTTGACCGACAAAGCTCAGTTTGGCGGTGCCTGTGTTGTTGAACTTAGGGAATAGCTGTTTGCACCGGTCAGCCCGGTCTAAGCTGCCGATATAGGGCGTCGGGTAAGCTATTGAAAAATAAATGACCATGAATTTTATCTAACTTAATTTAGTTTGGTTTTATTTAATTGGTAAAAATTTAATAATGTACAATATATTGACAATAATAAAACATAATAATTATGTAAAAAGTTAAATACTATATTTAAGTATAATATGTAAACTGTAAATTATTCATATGCTGTATCCAGTATTATTATTGAAATGCTTATTTAAATATTTATAAATAATTATTTATTTTACTGTGTCTGAAAATATCATTTTGTATATTAATTTACATTTTAGAGTAAAACTTATTTAATTTATTAAATCTATATAGATTATTTTAGTATAGAGTGAAGGTAAGTTATTTTTACAACATTTAAAATAATATTACTAAATGATTCATATACCGCATAGCTTATATTGAAATTTAAATACAATATAAAATTTTAATAAGAAAGCAATATAAAATTAATTTGCTGTAAACTGTAATTTATTAATAGTTCTAAATAATTATGGTTGGTAAATAATTTACAGGTAATTTATATTGGGTCCAAATAAGTGTAAGTTAGTAAAATATATTGTAGAAAAACATTTTTAAAAAAATATTTTAGATTTAAAACAATCAGATTATTTAGTTATTATTATAAAAATACCAAGGTAATATTAAAATTTATTAATAGTTAATTTTATATCTATAAATATATTTTACAGTTACTCTTTAATTAATTGTTTGTCAATTATAACAAAAGTATAAAGTACAATAAATAATAAACAATACACACGTATTTCTTGAGCATTAAATCCACGGCAATGTTGTCCTCTAGGGTTACCAGCGGTCCCTAAATTCTCGGTTAAAACGCAGACAATATTTATTATTAAAATTATTAAAAAGCACTTAATTGATTTGTTAAACATTTTTATTTTGCTTATAACGTAATAATTAATAATGAAATATTAATGATTAAACTTATAATGATTTATAATTATTATATTTTATTTATTAACAACGTATTCATTAAAATGATATAAAGTACATGTATATCATTAACTAATTATCACTGATATTGAAAACAATTTTACAAATGTATTAATACACTTTAAAATAAAACTAAATTATTATATTTCAGGTATTTATTGACCATGTGCCAGAAATATCTTTGAAATCAACAACAATTCAATAAAACATAACTATTATTTCATTAGTCATATAAAATCTTAAACTAAATTCACACAAACAGTTATTTGTTATCACAAAACAGGTATTGATTATCACTTAAATATTAATTTAATAAAAATACAATTTTTTTAAAATATTTTGAGGAAAAGTTTAGACAATTTTCACTGAAAAACAATTTTTTGTTAACATATACTCCCGTATAAGACACCAAACTATAAAATACTGACAACACGTTTAAAATATGTGTTATTAATTAA